TGCTCCAGTCCTTTAAGCATCTTAGTGGCCCTTCTCAGGACTTGCTTCAGTGAGTCTCTGTTGTACTCAGGAGCCCAGAGCTGGTCTTGGTATTCCAGATATGCTGTTGCAAGTTGCGTAGAGCATCAGAGCCAACTCGCTCAAGCTGCATGAGCCAGGTCTTCTGCACCCCTTTCTCTCCAGGGAACTGTATCCCAAAGACTCTTCAAAATAGATTGAACAGGCTAAAGTCTGTTCTTATGAAGTCTATGGTTGTGATCCTGCTCTTGTGTTGCTCCCTCCTTTCAGGTTCCTGAACTTAACGTGCATTGTCACTGCATCCATGGTGCAGTGACGTGATGCTGTGATGAAAGACCCTGAAACTTGATGGTGACAACATGAGTGATAATAGCTTCCTGTTGTGGTCTAGTTGACAGTTTGAGCTTTTACTTTGGGCTGCTTAGAAGCAAGTGCTTCCTGCTTCTTGTCCAACCAAGTTGACAATAATTCTTCTAGTGGAGGAAAAAAAAAATTGATACCACAAGTGTTTTGTCTCGGAGTTACTGAGTGATTGCTACTTCTTAAGAGAATTTCTACTCGACCTTGAATGCTTAAGCTACCTGTGTCAAGTAAGTGCCTATGGAAACAAAATAATACAGTATATTTGTCATTTGTCTGGACCCAGCATGACTTTGCTAGGCCTCTTCTGTCAACAGTGTACTTCTTTACAAAGATGATTAACCCTCAAACCAGAGCAAGCAAGTGTAGACAGATACACAACTCAAAGTAATTTAGAAGTTTTAAAGATTTTACTATGTGTTGCCCTGTAGTTTACTAAGTTAATTTGTTTTCCAAAAGTGTACTCAAAGATTTAATTAACAGCAGAATGACTGTGTCTAATGCTACACTAGCTACCATGACCTTTAGTAACACATTTCAGATAGAAGCAAAGGTTTTAGGTCAGACAGCAGTCGAATAACGCTTTTGTTGTTCCTATTTCCCCTCATCAGCAGAGACAGAATAATATTTTTTCCGCTCATCAGTGATACCTTTATTTTAACATACAATCTAGAAGAGTTTATGTAGGTGTGGTTATGGTTAATCCATATTGAGTAATTCAGTAACAGCATTGTGATGGGGAACACACACTCAACATATAAATCTTCCTTTCCAAATTTAAGCTTATGAATTGCAGTTCAGGACTGTTATGACTTTGAGGGAATATGCTCTGTTTGCATTTCCTCAGCTCTTTTGAACAGAATAAGAGCAGTGCTGTTGAGACAACTGAATAGTGTCCCTCTAATAATGCAGCAAGTATTGCAAGTACTAGCTAATGCTACTTCTGGTTTAAGAACAAATAAACTAAGCATGCTTTTAGTTCCTCTTACGAATCTGCCACAAATCTGAATAAAAGTTGCAATCATGTCATTTAACATGACTGTCTTATCTATTTCAAATTGTCAAGCCATTGGTGGTTTCCCACCCTCACCTTTCCCTCTTTTTTCTTTCCCCTTTGGTTTGAGGCAATTATTCCATATTCTGGAGTTGAACATTTTAGGTATTTGCTTTTATTCTCAACAGATTTTTCTGTAAAGGCTGTAATAGCACCGTTCAGTCTTTCTTTGTGTCCATTTGCCACAAGTATTTTTTGTATCTTCATGTTCTGTGCTCGTTTGACTCGCACTTCCTTTGTGGTCCAATTCTAAACTGCTAACTCAGTTTCCAGTGTTAAAATGTCTTGAAGCAGTTTGCAGAAAACCTGCCTAAGATTTGCTGATAACGAGTGTTTGGTTTGTGTGAACCTGATGGTATCCACGGTTGAGTTAGAAGTTGAAGGCTAAAGGCCTTCTGCCAGCAGAAGCAGATTATCAGCACAGAGTTTCAAGACCTTTACAGATGACAGCTAATAGCAATGTACAGTTGTTAACCAAAAATATAACTAATAATTTAGCTAAAAAGTTCATCTAGTTTTGTTAATCAGGTCTTCTTAATCTCCAGGCAGTAGAATAGTCAGGTTTATAATTAACACATGTGGTTTCCAACAGGAAATTACTCATCATCTGCTTAACATTTTTTATCATGAATATACTTGCCCATGTTTTATACTTTCTTTCTGAATATTAGAACACCTTGGCATAATGGTATTTAACAGTAGAACTGAACAGTTATCTGTATAGTCTTTGTTACATGCAGATACATTATGAATATATTACTATAATGCATAGTAATGGTAGGTTGTTCAGAACTATTTATAAAATTAGTGGGATGAGGTATTTTTTATTTCTTAATTAATTGCTTATTGTTCTGAAGTTTTGTTTGGATGTGGGGGAAAAATGTACTTCCCAGCAAAAACTTTGGAATTTCAGTATCCTTGAGGTTTTGTTTTAAGAAAATATAGGGAGATAAATGTGGATTGTTAACAGGGCATTTCTGTACCCAAGTTTTTTCCGTGTAAAGAATTGTTCAAGCCTAGAACTTGCTGAAGATAATGACTACCATAGTGGAGCACTCAGACAGTGCTGCTACTGGCAGCATCTTTAATGATTGTTGTATGAATGAGGGAGATCTTAGCACCACCAGTAAACCCATTAGTGATCATTCCTATTTGCTAATTGGAAAAAGCATTTTCTAGGTATCACTGACAAATGAAGGTCGTCTGCCAAATGGTGGGGGTTTTGTTACTTTGAAGAAATGAGCCCAGTCTTTGGGGGGATGGAGGTGAAGGGGACGAAGGCTTAATTTGTGGGATTTTTAGATGTGTGCATAAACATGAAGAAATACTTGCAAAAATACAGGTACTGATCCAGTGAAATATTTACAAGATGAAAAAGTGTTTATGATGTTGGCAGCCTATAACAAATTCGGAGAGTTTTCAAGGATTTTGACAGGGAGTATTAAGTCTTGGCAAATGGAGTTAGTATCCCTTAAAACAAACAAAAAAAGAGAGAAAAGCAATGCTTATCAAGTTGTCTGTGGTAAATACAAATTGCACTACGTTTAAAAGGCGTAATTAACAGCACAGCTAGATAAAAAGTATTGGAAGCTCAGTTTGGAAGTTTGCAGTAAACTGTTTTCATGTTATTCTGGGTTACGTAGGTCTGCCGTGCCATATTGCTATGAAGCTGCCAAATAATACCTGGAATGCAGTTAAAAGTGTGACCTTGCAGGTGTATGAGACATTTCTTCTTTCTCTTCCTAACAGCAAATAACAAGTACTGTTTTCAGTTTGGGTCAATGTGGTTTGTTCGTGGTATGGACTGAGAGAGCCCAGAAGATACTTTTATTGGGAGTTGTAACTTGTAAGGGTGAAAGTCCATAAACGGTAATTTGGTCTGCAGGAGAAAACTGAGTGGCTACAGAACAGAACACGAACTGTTCTTCATGTTTGACAGCAGAAGAAGAATTAACTCCATTAAACTCTAATAAAGAAGAAAAACTTGTCCAACGAAAGAAAAACTAAATAGTGAATCAGACTATGAAGTTTCATTATAGAAATTTGGAAAGTAAAGTTTGTATGAAATTTCTTTCCCGTGGTTCTTAAATAGGTTGTATACTGTTATATATTGAAACTTTACAGTTGAAGGAACCTTGAGCAGTCATCTAGGTTCTTTTTATAAGCTTTTAATTTACTGGGGGGCGTGGAGGAATTCCCCCTCACTGAATCACTTCTCTTAACTCGAGGATAATGGTGTTTGTTCCTTATAAGAAAAGTGGTGAGCTAGTTTGCTTCTGCAGGAAGTGTCTTGAGGAACATACCTTCCTCTTTATTGGTGAAGAGGGGAAAAGTTGTGAAATTTCTAGCAGGCAGCTTTCTTGTAATTCTTTGCAGGAGTTGTTTGTTTGACCCTGTTTTCTGACTGGTGGCTGTTGGTCATGCTTCAGCTTTTCCAGTTTTTAACTTATGGACCATGAGACTTGTATACTCTTGCAGTCTGAACGCTGTACAGGAGAGCAAGTATTATGCTTTTAATACCTAACATTTTTTATTTAGAACAAAGTTGTTTGAATAGAATATTAAGATTCTTCTGATTCTCAGTCTGTTACCTGAAAACGCAAATTCTCCTGTGACTTTCAGATTTCGTAGTTTTTCCAACTAATCTGAACTGTAAGCTATTTGAGTAATGTTTAAGTGGTACAGAGGAATGTTAGTAGCTGTTGCTTGTAGTCCTATATAGGATGAGCTATATGCTGCACAGATAATACATGCCTCTTTTTTTGTGTTTGGAGGGCTTATAATCTGAACAGACCAGAGAAAAAAAATGTTAAAAAGCATGCATCTCAAACACAGTGATCTCAATGATGGTGACAAAGAATTGTATTGTGTGTATGGTGTCTTTTTTTTGTATGTCTTTTTTTTCTGGGTAGTAAAATGGAGGAGAAGAAGAATGTGGTAGGAATGAGGTGTGGGCAGGAGAGGATTAGAGCATCTTAGAGGAATGTGTGTTAACTAGATCTGTAATGTAAAGGGATGGAAATTAAGTCTATATACTGAGGGTGGGAAAAGTCTAGACAAAAAATAAAAAAGTTGCAGTTCTTCCATCAAGTGAATTTTCTGCCAAATGATACATTTCTAAAGCTTTGTTTTTTTGTCTTGGAATGCTTAAATCTTTGTGTGGCAAAGACTTCACAAAGCATAAATGTTCTATACTAACAGGTTATGTTGCTGAGATTTGTCAGTAACTCTTGCTTCAAGTATTGATGTGGTGCTAATGGACTTGTAATAGAAACAGTAGGGTAAAACTGTAGAAAATATAGGGACTTTTTTCTGTTCTAGCATATATTCTGCTTAAATTGATGAGAATAAAGGCCCATAATTCAGTGGAACATTAGGAAAGCATAATCTTGAGTGTTTTATGTGCTGATTTATACTCTGAATTTCTGCCAGTGATTGTTCCCCTTGCTTAGGAAAAAAAATTTTATAGTACTTCAGACTTTCTTTCCTCTCTGTTTGTGCTGTTTACCATGGGGTACAGAAGGGAATTTAATTCTTTTATTCTCATTGCTTTTCCATTCTTTTTCAGAAGTAAGAAACTTTTTAGCAAGAAAAAATTGAAAAGAAAACAGAAGACTAAATTGAAAGTAAAAACACGCAACAAGGTAAGTCTGTAACTAAATTGACAAAGTTCTGACTCAAGTGACAGTAACTTTAATTGAGAAAAATACAAGAAAACAGAAGTGTAACTCATAATTTGTTTGTTTAGAGGAGTTAATAATAGGCCACTATTGTCTGTTTACTGTATTCTACATGACTGTGATACCATAACCCTATTCAACTGCTTTTGTTACTAATGTTCAGTATGAAATAATATGAACAGCATTTTTGGTTCTCCAGTTCCTAAACTCTGTGTTGCTAAACATGTTGGTCTTAAAGTTAAATTTTGAGATTTGTGTCTAGCCAACAGTTAGAAACTACTGCTGCAAAGATTCATCCATAATGGCTAAAGGAGAAAGGAAACACTGAATGTCTAAGGACTCTAAAGTTACCTCTGAAAATTCCTCCATAGTGAAAAATTAAATAGATTATGTGTTTCTATTAATATTTTCTCCCTGTGTAGCCCCTACCTTCATCACTTTAAATGCATGGGAACAGTACAGTGAACTTCATAAAAATATTTACTTGTTGCAGAGACTAAATTTATGCAGAAGTAAAAGTATTTTAAAATACAGCTCTGCTGTGTTCTTTCTCTACTAGAGAGCTGTTATTTCTCTATTTAAACTAGAATCTTGGAGGGATTTTCATGAAGGCTTGCGGCAGGCATGAAGACTTCTTCCTTGTAGCCAGTAAAGAGAAAGTAGATTGTTTCTGGAATGGTTCTGAAGGACAGAACCACCAAAATATCCAGTGAAAACACTTTCTAGTCAGCTGAATGCCCTTATAATACAAATTCACTGTAGAACAACTTGGCCATCTTATCCCTATTTGCCACACCTCATGTAGTTACTCTATCTCAAGACAGATGACTTTGGGAGGGTGAAGCAAACCCTCTATCTATTCATTTGGTATTGACTTTTTGGATACTTACCAGATTATTCTACTTATCTCAAGTAGTGCAGCTTCAGACTATGGTGTAGAAAGGGCTTATCTTCATTTCTGTTTTCAACACTGTACAGTGAAATATTTGTGGTTCAAACTGAATTTCTCAGCCCTTTCTTCAGTTGCTGTGATATTAGAAGTTTTAGTCCTGTTCCCTTCGTGATTTTAGAGTCAATGTCAACAGAGAAAACCAAGTTAGAAATTTGAAGAATTTTACAGAATGTAGTTAGTCTTTGTCTGTTCTATGTGATGACAGAAATTTGTACTTTTAAAATAAGGTAACTCTTCAGCTTTGATTATTCTTACTATATAAAGGGACCCTTGTCTTTCTGGGTGGTGCTGCCCTGGTTTACTGCCTAAGTAGGAAGCTAAATCCAGAATGGCTGGTCACAAACTTAACAGTCAAATGTAGTTCTTGGATTTAGTTGCATTGGATAAGTGGAGTGGCAGAATCCCTTCTGAATGGCCAAAGAATATGTGAATGTATTAAAGGCTAGTTCTTGTCAGTAGTTATAGATTTGGTACCAACTGATAATCTCTGCACTCATCCTTATGGAGGGTTGTTCTCAACATTTTTCTTGGATTTAAAACTATTTTCACTTGAAACATTGAGATGTACCTATCTTTGAAAGGCATAATGGGCTTTTGCATGTCTTTTACTGATGCTGTTATTCTAGACAGTCGCTGAAGCAGACCAGGATTGACCAGCAGCACGTTGGTCTTCGTTCTGAATCACTGAGGTGCAGAAAGGCACTCAAGCTTATTCCTGCATGATAGCAGAAAATTATGTATTTCCTGAAAAATGTAGCTGAAAAGGGAAAGATAAAACCAGCTTCATATCTTTAGCTTATGAAACTTTATTAACTGACACAGTGACATGGTTTTTGGTTTTGTTTGTTGTTGTTCCCTTGTTTTTTTGTTATAGGGTTTTCTGAGGTTTTTTTTCTCATATATTTTTCAATGCACCCCAGTCTTTATTGTAGCAGAATAAGCACAATGATCATTTTTGCACTAGAATGTCTGAAAATGGATATATGTATTGTCAGGAAAATGTGAGCTTCCTTTTGGAAGCTTTCTAGTAGAGCAGATTGAAAAGCCTATCACTATTGGATATTCTGAACAGGAGAGTTTGTGTGCATTAGTTTATTTTTTCATCAAACAGGGACTTTAAGTCTGAACAGAGATGAGAGCTTTCTCTTAATAAGCTTAGTAGAGACGGGGGGGCCTTAAATCAAGAATGAGCTGAAGGAACCCCAAAATTTGTTATTTATATCCTGTGCCTACTAAAAATGATAATTGAGTAATTAAAGAGGAGAGAACTTTAAAAAAAAATTGTTGAGCAACTGGAAGACAACTGCTTTCACCATTTAAACATTAAATGTTAGAACATTTTAGATATAAAACATTAATTGGTGTTTAATGCAGTCCAGTAGTTTGAACCTCATTCTGTTTCTAAGCTGGTGTCATTCTGTGATCGCTGCTATTTAAACTACTGTTAACTTTTGGTTTTGTGGTTTAGTATCTATTTTTTTAAATAGAGGTATAAAAGTTTTCCATGTGGTGCAGTGTGTTTTGGCTTTAGAAATTCAGTGCTAACAAAAGTGTCTTACATAGAAAACAAATACCTGATTATTAGACATGGGTGTGTAGCACCCTGAATTCCAGTCCCTACCTGCCCACCCTCCCCCCCCTTTTCTTTTCTTTTGGCAAAAAATTATCACCGGAAAATCATAAGTTGTGTAACTTATTTCTATTTATGAATGTTTCTGCTTACCCTCCCTTCCCCCTTTTCACCTTGGATTTTTCTCCCCTTTTGCTATTAACTCATGAAAGTACTGTGTAGGACACTTAGATGAGAGACTAAATGGAAAACCAGAGTTCACCATCTTTTCTTCTCATGTTTTTTGAAGAATACTGAAAAATTGGGGGTCCACCAAATAGAGATTGTATTTGAAATGATTGACATCCACCTGTTTAGTTTATGAAGAAATTTTAGATTCTGACTTTTTTAGCTTTATACAAATAAAAGGAATGAAACATTGGGAAAGGTAGGTTCTTGTAGCAGGCAAATTTATTGAAACTAAATTATTGGATGTATAGGACAGATTGACTGGGATAAGTATTTGTCTCATTAAAAACTCAAGTAGCTTCTCAAATAATTTGGCTGTGTTTTCCATGGCTTTTGTATTATTTGGTATTTCAACCTCAGGAGGGCATCCCTTTCTGAGAGATCTCTTAACTGTCCAAAGAAGAATTTGGTGAGCTCTTATTCTCTGTGTTGCCCACGGGTTATTATAGCCTTGCCCATCTTTAACAACAGAGTAACTTTCCTCTCCTAGGTTATAGTCTATTTCCATCATATTTAAGAATAAACTGTTATTATGGTCATCTGATTAAGGAGGAAGAAGATAAATTGGTCAGAAAATAAGCTGTGTATGGATTTCATCCTTTGGGAAAACAATTTCTTTGTGTCTGAGACAAGCGTAAAGAAGACCAGAGGATTTTGGTTTTCCCGCTCCTTTCTTTGAGTGTTACTAGAACATTACAAAAGGCTAACTGAGAAGAGCGCTTACAAGTTGGCTACTCTTATTTTATGAACCAAACCTGTGCTGTTTAACCTTTCCTACATAATGTGCCCTTCCACTTAGCAGGGACAGGTCACACATCAGGGTGTGGGCATCTGTGCTTCATTCTCCTTTTCATAAGTTAGCCTCTTATCTTTAGAAAATAAAAAATAACACACAAAAAATCTTACGTCTATGTATTAAAACTGTGTTCGTGAATACTGGATTTTTTTTTAAGTGTTATGATGTATGTTGCATCAGGTTTTTTAATTTAAGAAGGTACGTTTTCAATTTATGATGTTACCAGGTGAAACAACACGGATGAAGATTTCAGATGTCCTACTTTCTTAGAGCTCATATGAAAACTACTGAATCAGAAAGCGTAATTCTGTTTTCCAGTCTAGAAGCTCTGTTCTTTTTGAAAGTGGTAGCAATTTCATATTCTGAGAAACCCAATGCTCTGGGAGAAAAAAATTGTAGAACCTATGATCTCATCTTCTGCTTAGGCACCCTGGAAGATGGGCTTGTAGTCATACTTAGTGAGCACTTTGGATCAAAATATTCCAGTAGCCATTAAGAAAAGAACATTCAGAGGTGGAGATAAAGTGATTGTTACTTTGTCATGGGAATCTTAATAGTCCTAATGTGATTAAAACAAGCTGTAAGGGTGTGTTTCTTTCTTGAAATAATGTATTGTGTAGCTCAAGAGCAATCTGTTCGGATTATTAATAATCTTAGATCTGTTGAAATTAATAAATTGTTTTACAGAGTTCAAGTTGATTAACATTTTGACTTAATGTTCCACTGTTTTCCTTGCCAATGTAGAAGTATTTTGTGCAAACATGAAATGCAGTATCATTAAGAAAACTGTTGTAAGTTAAAATAGACTTTATTAGTTTGATATAAAATTACCGAGTGGAGTTCTGTAGGCACAGTTATTAGTTAGATTTTCTTATTGATCTGTTTTATATCAAAATCTATGAGCCAGCAGCAAGATTGTAGCAAAGTGGTAGCACGAGTCTCTTATTATCGGGAAAGTTTGTATGACTGTGAAGAATCACAGAATAAGCCAAGTTGGAAGAGGTCCGCAGGGATCATCTAGTCTAACCCTTAGCCCTGCACAGTACCATTCCCAGGAGTCACACCATGTGCCTGAGAGTATCATCCAAACACTTCTTGGACTCTGTCAAACTTGGTGCTGTGACCACTTCCCTGGGGAGCCTGTTCCAGCAACCAACGACCCTCTGAGTGAATAACCTTTTTCTAATATCCAACCTAAACTTCCCCTGACACAACTTCAGGCCATTCCCTTGGGTCACTACAGAGAAGAGATCAGTGCCTGCCCCTTCTCTTCCCCTCAGAGGAAGTTGTAGACTGCAATGAGATCTCCCCTTAGTCTCCTCTTCTCCAGGCTGAGGTTTGTATGAGTGTGTAGAAGGCTCTCAATTGTTGCAGAAAAGGAAATTTGCAGTTGATGATGGAATGAACTTAAATTCCAGTTTTCTAACTTGTTTAGTGTATCTAACCTCAGTGAAGTTAGGAATCTGTTGTAATCGGGAAAGGAAAAAAACTTGCTTCATGCAGAAAAAACTTCTGATGTCTGTTTTGAATACTTTGCTCTACCACTGGTAAAATAACAAAAGAAAAAAAGAAAAAGCTGTTCACTGAATGAGCATTTGCATTAGAGGGACAAAGTTTTCCTGTTTCTTTTTTTTTTTAATCAGCTCCATCTTTGCCTTTTGTAAAAGATATCTAAGAAAGTGTTGCTTATGCAACCTGCTTATATTTCCCCAATTTTGAACAGATGTTTGTTTTGAAGACCTGGTAACTATAGGTATTATAGTTAAAGCCTCTCAGACTCCATCATGAATAAATCATCAGTGATTTTTACCTTATGGTGAAGTTTCAAGGTAATGTTGTGCTGTATTGAAGTCTGAGTAGGAGATCAGTGTATATAACTGTAGTTCATGTACTGTTGTAGAAGACTGAAACACTAAGCACAAAGATTGAATGATTAAAATGCTTCTGTTTAAAAGCTAAAGCATTGGGTAAGGGACTTGTTAATAGTTACAGTAAAATACTTGTAAATACTTGTATAGAGAATATGAAGTTTATTTCTGAAAATAAGTCAGCTCATTATTATTAGGCCAGGAAAGATACATTGTTGGTGTTTTTTTTTCCTAACACTGTAGCGTCTAAAATTGTCTGTGCTGTTTAAACAGCTTGGACAACCTATTTCAAAAGTGATTACACGAGCTACAGAACTTAGGCTGTTCTGGAACAAAGACTAAACTGAACTGACAAGAAAACATCGGAATGGAAACTCTTCACAGAAGTGATAATTATAATACACGATACTAACTAGATAAGTGAACTTCAGATAGAGATATTTCAGAGGCTCCAGATATTTTTCTCTTCCTGTAACTGACAGTAAACTAGGAAGCACATAGTAAATTTACTAAAGGATTTTTTTAACCTGTGGAGTTCAACTGAGTTAGCTTTAAAGCTGAAAGCTTAGACTGTGTATTTGCCTTAACAGCAGCTGCAAAAACTCTTGGGGTAATGTATATGGATACTTGGCATACAGAAGAGTCATATGTTATAACCGTTTAGTTTTCTGGTGCCAAATAAATTCTAAAGTATGTAGTAGCTCATTATCATTGGTATTAGTCCAAATCTATTTTGATACAACCTTCTATGTTATTCCAGTATCAAAGTGTATCTTGAGTTCTTTCACTGATTAATACTGCTGGATTTCTAACAGGAGCTTTATTATTTCAAAGATATTAATGTTGAACAAGGACTAAACTTATGCTGTCTTTAATCCCTAATGGCATAAGTTCTGTTGTGCTAAAAAAAAAAAAAGGATGAAAACCCTTCCAGACTTCTAGTACGTATGTAGGGAACTTTTTCCAGCTTTTTTTTTCTCCTTCATTATCTTTATATTTTTGTGCTTACTGCTGATACTGACACAGGTAAGAAAAAATAACACACTGTGTTGGATAAAATAGGCTGCCAAGTAAAACATGGCTTCTTTGTTTTAGTTTTCAGTTACTTTGTAGTAATAATAGAAAGGAGGGATAGGCAAATATATACCAATACAGTTAGAATAATAGCGTAGTCAAAAATAAAAGGAAATAAGTAAACTATGAAATACTTTGTAGTAATGTTGAATTTTTTGTTGTGTTTTGAAACATGTTAAAAGATCTAGCTTAGAGGCTTCTGTTACTTCTGGTGTTAATAAAAATAAAAGTGAGCATAAAAATGTGGTTTTGATGTATAGAATTGTGGCAACCATATTGTAGAAAAGTAAATCACCCCATTAAAATATAATCCAGTTCACTGGTTCTCAAATTTCTTTTTCACTCTTCTCTGTTCTTTGCGATCACTGCTCTCACTGATCTGTTCCAAGTCATTGTAGTATAATTAAACTCCTGTGAGATGAACATGGCCATGCACAATATCTATCCCCTGTAATTAAAAATAAACAAGAAACCCTGCCCCCCTCCTGCCTTCCAGGACTACAGGAAAGAAACCAAAATAACCTTGTGAAGTTAGTCATCACCCCGACTGTCTAACACTCCTCCAAATTTTGCCTTGTGCATTCAAACAAATTTGTCCTGCCCTCTTAACCTAGGCCTCATGTCCTTGTATATTCTTTGTGCCCTCTGTCTACACCTATGCATTACAGAGAATTGCTTCCTCTCATATGCCTGAAATCTGGTTTTTCATAGCCTCTTCTCTAACCGACCTAGTCGTTTGTAGTACACAACCAAATGGAAAGAATAACCCTGCCAGGGCACTAATTTTTTTATTGTTGCAGGGTTTTGTTTTTTCAAGTCAATCATACCTCCTGTCCCATCTTACTGTTGCAGAATGGGAGAGCACAGAGCAGAATTTAAGAAAACCCACCTTTTTTTGAAAGTTTTTTCTTATTATTTTTCCAAGTCTAATGACAGCCTCGTGAAGGGCTCTTTTGTGTCTTGGCAGGGGCTGACAGTAATACACCAGTAGTAGATACCAAGGAAAGGGTGGGGCAGGGTAGTGGTAGTTTCTCAGAACAGTTTCCAAACTCTTATTTTGTGGCTCAGAGCTTCTGAAAACAGGATCGTGTTCTCTTAAGTCATAGGCCTTGGTAGATTTTAGTGTTTAGTAGTTTGTCTGTTAGGTATTCACTGTCCTCAAAAATATTATCCGCAGCATCCTGACAGCAGTTTTTGAACTTGCCATCACTTTTCATTTAATGACAAAACAGGCAGTGGTGGTTTTAATTTCTAATGTATACTCAGCAAACAGGTTAAATATTTAGTATTTACCAATGGGTTAAAATTAACAACTGGAATAACAAAGAATGCATTTTAAAAATCAATAATAATAATAATTAAAAAAAAACAACAACTGACCCCAGTTGAGAAGATAAATCCTGAATTCTGCTACTCTTCTGACTGTGGCACAGATTTGGACCATTCTGTGGCCTGAGCTGCTTTCATTTTCAGTCCCAATATCCTTGTCAAGTTATGAGAGGTAGAGACCTAAAACTAGATGGAATATATTGAAATTTCTTCCTCTTCCTCCTTTCTTCCCTGCCTGAAATATAAATTAGTACTTCAACAGGAAAGTTGTCTCCAGTTCAAAAATAATTTTGTCTGTCAAAGTTATTGAGACTGTTGAAATCATTTATATTTAGCAAAGCTTGAAACTTCTAATAAACTAAAATTAATTTTAATCTTGTCTTTCAGACTGAAAACCTAGAGAGTACAATAACCATACCAGATATCAGATTACATAGCAATCCTTCAGCATTTAATGTTTACTGCAATGTCCGCCATTGTGTGTTGGAATGGCAGAAGAAGGAAGCATCTGTATCTTTGGCTTCAAAGAACAGTGTACAAAGTGGGGATTCGGACAGTGATGAAGAAGAGGAATCCAAAGAGCCACCTATTAAACTTCCAAAGGCAAGTAACCAATACTGTTTAAAGCGTACCACGTATGTCATCTAAGGTTGGTATGTGGTTTGTGGGGAATAAAGAACCATGTTATAAGACAATTGCGCAGAAAATCGCTCTAGTTTTATTTGCAGTCCATCTAGTCCAGAATGATCTGATTTGATGAATTAGGATGATCTGTGTACCTGCCCAAATCACAGTCAGTTAAATGTCAGATAAACATTCTACTTGCACTCCTTTTTAAGTGTTGGTAATTGAAGACCTGCAGCCTCAAAAGACTACACAAAAATGGTGCAAATAAGGCAGCTCTTACATCTGTCAGAGGCTACTAGCTCATAATGGTAAAGGGTGCTTCCTCTTGCTTTATTCTCCAAAAAGAGTAAGTCTTTCTGCTATTGGAAATCACTCAGTGGAGTGTTTTCTAAGATGTTTTGCCAGGTATGCATGTAACTGCAGTAACTGTCAATTATTCTTGTTAACAGAGTTGTTTAATCTTTCCCTTTTTTGGCTTTAGTGTCCTTAATGGCACTGATAACTCCAGGTAGTATTGCACATTAAGATTATGATGCTATAGTTCAACAGTTAGGGTGAGTTTTTTACTCTTTACCACTTCTGAGCTTATAGTAGGATTAATGGTGGAAAGTCAGCAATAATCTGTATTGGACTTACTGATTTCTTTCTTAATTATTTTCAATTTGCTGATTCACGTGTTTTGTACTGTTTGACTTCTCTGCATTTAGTTTTGTTCATTGCTAGCTTGCCAGTGCTATGAATCCTGCTTAGTTTGTTATTCTTCTGAGTCCAAAAAGCATATTCAGATTAACTTTCCTTGTTTGTATTTACTCTAAAACAAATACAAATGCTAAATTAAAAAAGGTTGTTGGAGCCATGACTATGTAGAGTGTTCAAGTCACTTAGAAAATTAGGGTTTTATAGATGATTGTGTTTAGGTAGTGTTATCTGAAGAGCAAAGTTTGCACTCTGGAAAATAGTGGTGGTGAATTGCAGAGAAACATAACCAAGTCAGGTAACTGAAATTTCATGATTGATAATTGCAAAATAATGTGTGATAAGTAGAAATAAAGTTCACTGTTTATGAACTGCATCTGACTCCTTGTGGATTATATTAAATGAATCAGCAAGTGCTTCTAGATGCTTAACTTACTTAAAGTAAAAGGCAGTGTAGTTATTAGCATTTTTAAAGAATAAAATGCAATTTTAAGGAGATTTTGAAATTAAGAGAGATTCTAAGGATGAGATTTATCAGTGGTATGGACAGAACACTTACATGTGGAAACTAAAACATTGGTATTATTAAAGGTGTTGGATAGTTTATCAAAAAGAGACTTGGATAAGTAACACAGTTTTAGAAAGGTGGTGACTTAGAAAAAAATTGTAGGGAAACTGTATCATAGAATCATAGAATCAGCTGGTTTGGAAGGGACCTCTGAGATCATCAAGTCCAACCCTTGATCCACTGCCTCTGTAGTTACTAGACCATGGCACTGAGTGCCACATTCAGTCTCTTCTTAAAAACCTCCAGGGTCAGAGAATCTACCGCTTCCCAGGGCAGCCCATTCCAATGCCTGATTACCTTCTCTGTAAAGAATTTCTTCCTGATATCCAACCTAAACCTCCCCTGGCACAGCTTAAGACCTTGCCCTCTTGTCTTGCTGACAGTTGCCTGGAAGAAGAGACCAACCCCCACCTGGCTACAACCTCCTTTCAGGGAGTAGTAGAGTGATGAGGTCTCCCCTGAGCCTCCTCTTCTCCAGGCTGAACAACCCCAGCTCCCTCAGCCTCTCCTCATAGGACTTGTGCTCCAGTCCCTTCACCAGCCTCGTTGTTTTTCTCTGGACCTGCTCCAGCACCTCAATATCCTTCCTGAACTGAGGGGCCCAGAACTGGACACAGCACTTGAGGTGTGGCCTCACCAGTGCTGAGTACAGGGGAAGAATCACTTCCCTGGTTCCTGCTGGTCACACTGTTCCTGATCCAGGCCAGGATACCATTGGCCTTCTTGGCCACCAGGGCACACTGCTGGCTCATGTTCAGCTTCCTGTCAATCAGTACCCCCAGGTCCCTTTCTGCCTGGCTGCTCTCCAGCCACTCTGTCCCCAGCCTGTAGCGCTGCAGGGGGTTGTTGTGGCCAAAGTGCAGGACCCGGCACTTGGTCTTGTTGAACCTCATCCTGTTGGAATCAGCCCAACTCTCCAGTCTGTCCCAGTCCCTCTGCAGAGCCCTCCTGCCTTCCAGCTAATCGATACTCTCCCTGCAACATCTGCAAATTTGCTGATGGTGGACTCAATCCCCTCATCTAAATCATCAGTAAAGATATTAAACAGAACTGGGCCCAACACTGATCCCTGGGGGACACCACTAGTGACTGGCCGCCAACTGGATGCAACCCCGTTCACCACCACTCTCTGGGCCCGGCCCTCCAGCCAGTTCCTGACCCAGCAGAGAGTGCCCCTATCCAAGCCGTGGGCTGCCAGCTTTTTCAGGAGTATGCTATGGGAGACGGTGTCAAAGGCTTTGCTCAAGTCCAGGTAGACACATCCACAGCCTTCCCCTCATCCACCAGGTGGGTCACCTGGTCATAAAAGGAGATCAGGTTGGTCAGACAGGACCTGCCCCTCCTAAACCCATGTTGGCTGAGTCTGATCCCTTGTCCATCCTGTAGGTGTTGTGTGATTGGACTTAGGATGATCTGCTCCATAACCTTGCCAGGCACTGAGGTCAGGCTGACAGGCCTGTAGTTTCCCCGGTCTTCCTTCCGGCCCTTTTTGTGAATGGGTGTGACATTCACCAACTTCCAGTCATCTGGGACATCCCCAGTGAGCCAGGACTGTTGGTAGATGATGGAGAGCAGCTTGGTGAACTCTTCTGCCAGCTCCCTCACCACCCTTGGGTGGATCCCCTCTGGTCCCATAGACTTGTGGGGATCCAAGTGGCCCAACAGGTGGCTAACTGTTTCCTCCTGGATTACAGGGGGGCTATTCACCTTCTTATCTATGTCTACAAGCTCCAGAAGCCAGCTGTCCTCAGGACAACCTGTCTTAGGTAGGTAGGAAACCTCTCAAAACAGAAAATTGGTGAGATATTTTGTTGTATTTAGTACAGCAAATATAAAATTGATGAAAATGAATATGCTTTCAAACTATTCGTTTTTAGCAAAGAATGTACAAAATTTCAAAGAATTCTAGAATTTTTGATTCAGTAATGGCTTATATGCTTGGTACATCCTCAGTATTTTTCATAACTGTATGGCTAATATTAGGTTGTTTAGGCTACTTGGAGGTAACAGTCTGACTTGTATCCATGCTTTTGAAAAAGACATCTACTTGGAGCTGCCTCATGTAGTAAAACTTACAGAGACTAGGTAAATGTCTTGGTATCTTGGATATACGTGTCTGTCTCATACTTTGAGTATATTATGGTCTGATTTTTCTGTATAATGAACAATATTGGATAGGGCTTAGTTCATTAAATGTAAAGAATAAAGTTATTGAAGTTTCTAAGGTTTACAATATTTACAAGATCAATTTCTGATAGTAATTGTTAGCTTATTTAAAAGAATACTGTATTTTGAGTTTGACAGTGAGGTGAAAGTCAAATTAAAAAATGTAGCCAGAATTTTTAATTTTCCAGATTCTCTAGAATTAAACTGGTGAAGTTTTAGTCCATTGTGTGTTGGGATTTTTGTTTATAAAAATGCTTCATACAGTTGAGAATAAGTTGAAAACATTCTACTTTTTATGCAGCTTAACTTGATTTCAAGTGTTCTATTGAAGTGTTTTATTTTACATCCTAAACTTGAGGAAGTGAGGTTTGTTAGAACTTTTATTTAGAGAGTATTTCAGAATTAAAAGTTCTCCTATGCAATTTCTGTAGTTAGATTGAGAACAATTGTTTTTACCATTGTTAAAAGAGATCTAAAGACATAATTTGCTGCTCTTTAGATATTAGCACAATAAAAAAAATTGTGTTTTGGTTTTGTTCAGACAGTTTGGTAACTTGCTTTGATAGCTTTATATTTTTGGATTCACAGGAAATATTTGTGTTGCCTGACATACTTATTTAGTACCTTTTTTTGCTTAGTACCTTAGCTAATTATGAGGAATTCTCTCTACTAAAAATATGGGAGATTGAGATCTAATTATATGATTTGTAATTCTAAGGGTTAAAAAGAGGTACTCCCCCCCCCCGTATTAAATCTAACATAGTTATGGGTGATCCATAAAAGCCCTGTACTAAAAGGAATAAATACTGTATTAAAGTGATTAAGGTAGAATTAACTGACATAAATATTCTCTGTTCCTGCATTGACATACATTTTGGTAATGAACTTGAGCAAAAATGAAAATTTTGAAGTTGTAAGAAAAAAAGAGAAGCAAAATAATTACTTTCTCTAGAGACTGACTTTAAGTCTTTTAAAATGCATTAGGAAAATGTGTTACCTTTGTAAATGTTTTGGGTTTTTTTTAATGTGTATGATATAAATTAATGCAGAGTATTAAATTGTTTTAAATAAATAAATGTGAGCATTGGACACAATGCTTATTATGCTATGAGAGGGAAGATAGAGAAAATAATGGAGTAGAAAAGACTTCTTGAAGAAATAGGAGGGTTTTTAGGCATTAGATATGGTCTGCATCCAGGCTAGAATTTTGTATAACCTTTGTTAAGTGGGCTTACACTTTTGATCTGAAATCTCAAAGATGTTGCAAAGGGAACAGGAGGGTGGCTGCATGGAGAGCATCAGTAAAAGCAGTCAGGCTGTGACATAGAGGCTGAGGCAGCAGGGCTTGTTTTGGCTCAGAGACCCTTCAGAGAGCAGTGAGAACAAGCTTAAGATGTCTTGAAAAGAACTTTTTGCTCATTCTGTCCTTCAGTGCACAGTTTGGAGGAGAGAGGTAGAGAGATACAAACATCATACATACATATATTCGTGTATATATATGAATATGTATATAAAATATAGCTACATGAGATTTTAAGGTTAACAGGTGTGTTTTATGAAGCCTACCCAGTCTCTTGATCTTAGATATCTAAAATCCAACCCAAAAACTGGGCAGCAACATCCCAGCAGAACTATCATCGTTGATTCCTGCTGTAATGGAAGTTCACCAGATTATTTTCTCCACTGCATTATGTTCTCTGCTTCTTCTAACTGCCTCTGTCAACTCCTAGATGAGGTCTTCTGTCTGATGATTGGGAAGAATAAAATAAACTTCTCAGTTTCTTTCAAAGATACTATAACTGAAAAGAAAGTGAATTTCTAAAAATGTACTACAGGTTATTTTATTTTTTAGCCTGCTAGATGATGGTGAGTTTGGGATCCTGGAAAAAACATCTGTGCCATTATTTTGTTGACAGGTTTTTTTTCCCTGTAGGTTCCATGCATGTGTTTCCCCCCACTCCATTGAAGATGTGAAATGTAAGGTGTAATTTGCAGGAAAATTGGTGTTGCACTTTGAAGACTTGATTTGATTATGTTTTTATTCTTCCTCCAAAAATAAAACAGGTGGTAAAATAATTTCTGAAAGACCAGAATGAAAATAAATTGAATGGTAGCAAAATTACAAGACATCCAGTAGAACTTGTAGCTGACTGTCAGAATAGATGTGTTTTAAGTATTAGTGGCAGTTCTGTTAACAGTGTTATTTATTTTCACATTTCAGTCTTTTCCTTAGATTTTACTCAAGAGTGAATCTATATTAAATACTCTAAACATTGGGGCTCTGCTCCTGACCAAAACAGATAGTGAAGTTTTGAAGATATGGTTGTTTATACAAATGAGCTAACTCTGCTCTCTTTTCATTCATCCTCATCGTTATTACACACGGAATTTGAGAAGGAAATGAAAGGAAGCAGTTAGTGGAAGAAAGCATAATTGTAATCTCAGGAATTCTAAAAGGGAAAGTTAGGAGTGGCTATAACAGCACTTTTACATGTTCTATTAGTTCGCTTAATGAATGTCTGTGATGAGTACATGTGGAGTTTTAGTGACAAGAATTAATCTTTGTTTTTGTCACAATATAAAAACTAATCTCCGAGACTTTGGAGGGGAAAGTACTAGAGCTGCCAGTATCAGCTGTCACATGTATTGTTATTCAAGTTCTGAGGCCAGGTTGCAAGCCAATTCTAGCTTGCTGGTTCACATTAATGAGCAAGGAAAAAGAGGTCTGTCAAATAAAGTGTAAACTGGATAGAAATTAGAAGGACTCAGAGACACAGTTTGTCTTATATTGTGAAAAAAATTTTAGGTTTCCTCATTTTTTCAGGAAACTATCACTCTGCTTAGATATACTCTTTCATATAATGACTGACTTCTGTGTAATATTTGTTGGTACAGTTGATTTTGATTCTCATTTGAATTACCACTGTATTCTGTATTGCTTTTTTTTTTATTTAAGTAACTGTCTTGTTCAGTGAACATTGGGATATACCTTTATTGATGAAGATGTAAAAATATTATATTAACAACTATTCTGAAAAATCTGTACTTCTTTAGATCATCGAAGTTGGACTATGTGAAGTCTTTGAACTTATAAAGGAGACAAGATTTTCTCATCCATCCTTGTGTCTCAGGAGCCTACAAGCTCTACTTAATGTGCTTCAAGGTCAGCAACCAGAAGGCCTGCAATCAGAGCCTCCTGAAGTCCTAGGTAATATCTATCTATTACTGTATTTTTATTAACATACATCAGTTACTGTCTTGGACAGAAGAAAATGATTTCTAGCAAGTATTTGTGAGATAGTAACATGCTTGTTCTTGATTGACTGACTTGATTCTGGAATGTAAACTCCCTATGGTGCATGTACCGAGTAGTTACACAGCATTAATCTTTTCTAGATTAGTGTGTAAAGGTGTATATGCGGAGTTGCGCTGAATCATGCGATTCAGTTATCTTACTGAAGCGTGAAATACTTGGTCTTATTAGGCAGAATATAGTTCTAAAGTGGGCTTCTCTTGCAATCTGCTGTTGTAATCACAGAATCGCAGAATATGCTGAGCTGGAAGGGACCTACAAAATCATTGAGTCCCACTCCTGGCCCTGCACAGGCTATCCCCAGAAGTCACACAATGTACCTGAGAATATTGTCCAAACATTTCTCAAACTCTGTCAGCTTGGTGCTGTGACCACTTCTTTGGGGAGCCTGTTCCAGCATCCAGCCACCCTCTGGGTGAACCTCTTCCTGATACCTGAACCTCCCCTGACACAGTTTCAGGCCATTCCTTTGAGTCTTGTCACTGGTCACCACCGAGAAGAGATCAGTGCCTGCTCCTCCTCTTCCCCTCACAAGGAAGTTATAGACTGCAATGAAGTCTCCCCTCAGTCTCCTCTTCTCCAGACTGAACAGACCAAGTGACCTCAGCCGCTCCTCATACGGCTTCCCCTCAAGACACTTCACCATCTTGCTTGCCCTCCTTTGGACAATCTCTAATGACTTAATATCTTTCTTATGTTCAGGTGACCAAAACTGCACGCAATATTCAGGGTGAGGCTGCACCAGTGTAGAGAGCTGATCTGTAGCTTAGATATTTAACGTTGTAATTTATGTGCTAAGCAGAGTGTAAGAATTTTTCTTCGTATTTCCTCTGGCCATCCAAAAACTTCACTGAAAATTAATTTTGTTTTTATTGATATTGAAAATACAAGTTGAACTCCTGATGCCTTTGCATGCATGATTGATTATGTCCTTTAAGTTAAAATCCAATTATCTTTTGTTGATTGATAGTTTTTACTGGTTTATAGAACTGCAGGGAAGGCTAGGCTGTAGCATGTGTTGTTTAAAAATAATTTTAAAAACATCTGCAGACTTTATGTATTTTTTCCATATTTTATGACTTAACAGTATTCTGTTTCCAAAGACTGATTGTAATTTGCTACAGAAAACTTTTATTTTTGTACCAATGCACAGAGTATTAGAAAGCTTCAAAGAACACTTTTTGATATCTGCCTTCGTGATTATTTGTATCTGCTGTCAACAAAATTGAGGTGGATTTCTGTTCACACCTTGATTGCTACAGATGTTCAGTCACTAAACATGTATGCTTGAAAAGAGGTATACAATCAAAATGATTTTCAAGCTTTGATTTGAAATGCTCGTTTCAGTGAAAGGGGTTGTGCTTCAACATGGGCAATGGTCAGAAAGAGTAGAGAAGTTTGGTCAAGACCTACACATCATCTCAGTGATGAGGTAGACTGAATAGGCAGGTCAGATAACTCCTTCTGGCTCTTTTCTTGTTAATGTGTTCTACTGTAACAGAGGACTTGTAGTTTGGCCATGGTGATTATCAAGACTTGACATTTTCCAACTGAAAAAGAATGAAAAGTTAAAGATATTTTAGGTCTATTTGATTGTGATGCATTATTTTCTGTCTGAAATTAGGGCTAAACATAATGACTGAAGAAAGATGTGTCATATATTTTCTAAATTTAATTGCCTATTGACTGTCAAATTGTTTTGTATGATTTTATGACTTGTCTGTTTAATGTCTGTGTTTTGTCTGCAGAATCCCTGTTCCAGCTGCTTCTGGAAATAACTGTCCGTAGCACGGGAATGAATGACAGTACAGGACAGTCCTTGACAGCACTTTCCTGCGCTTGCCTCTTCAGTTTGGTAGCTGCATGGGGAGAGACGGGAAGAACGTTGCAAGCAATCTCTGCAATCCTCACCAATAATGGCAGCCACGCTTGTCAGACTATTCAGGTATTGCACTAAAACTTCTCTGTTCTGGGAATTTATATAAATGAGTACTTCTCGTGAGTTCTGAGAAGATCTGTTGTTTAATTGTTAGCTTTCTTCCCCCTCACTGTTTTTGAGATGAGTCGGTAATTTTTTGTCTCTCTTAAGTTGGAGATAGAACAGAAAATACAACATTCAAAAAACAGTAATGTTTTTCACTCACTATTTCTTTTACTCTTTAGGTGCCAACCATTTTAAACTCTCTTCAGAGGAGTGTACAGGCAGTTTTGGTGGGCAAAATCCAAATCCAGGACTGGTTCAGTAATGGGATAAAGAAGGCAGCCTTGATGCACAAGTGGCCGTTGAAAGAAATATCTGTAGATGATGACGACCAGTGCCTACTTCAGAGTGATGGTTTTTTCCTCTATCTCTTATGTAAAGATGGACTTTACAAAATTGGCTCTGGATATAGCGGGACAGTGAGGGTAATGTGATTACTTCTCATCTGATGAGTGACAATTAATATTTTAATTTAAGTTTTATGATGTCCTGTTTCCATGGAGAATCTGAAGTAGCTTACTAATGATCAGTTCTTTTACAGTTTGTGTGAAGTTTTCTGATGATTTCTTTGAGAATTTGACAGCATTTTGTTAGAATTTTCACAATATGTTGAAGACTGTTATTTAGATGGTAAATGATTATGTGTTAAGTTTTCAGTCTGATATTTGTTAAATGATTGGAGTTTTTTGCTTTTCAGGGCCATATATACAATTCTACATCCCGCATCAAAAACAGAAAAGAAAAAAAGTCTTGGTTAGGTTATGCTCAGGTAGGTGAATACTTAAAATATAAAACGTGTGGCCCTCCCCATCCCTCATGAGTAATTTAGATAGACTTTGGCTTAGAGTAAGGTTACATGGATATTTTCGTCATTCCTTTGGCTTTAGTTATAAAAAACATGACTTTTTTGAATGACTTTTAAACTGTGGAAGATGAACATCTGATTATAGTGGCATACAGAAAGGAGTAATGAAGTGTCCTTTTTTTGTGTTGTCATTGTAAAGACTCTCAAAATATGATGGTTAAACTCATCAGTTTATGAATTGTACAGTCACTTGATGTCTGCTTTTCGAGTGGGTGTCAGTAGATGTAAAAATGTGCTATTGCAAGAAACTAGTGTAAAAAATATTTGAAATACCTGTTAGGGAAATAAATTGACTTTAAAACATTTGTAGTAAAATAAGGAAATGCTGTTCTGGTTGGGGGAGGATTGAGCTTGTGTAAACAATGACTGGAGATAATTGTTGACGTTGCCGCTGCAGAGTTAACTATATTTGGACAGTTTATGTTTTTTAGAGTTAGTCAGTTTCCAGAATATCAGCCACCTTTTCTTATACCTTTGTTATTCGTTATAAAAAGTCCTCAAAACATTAAAAAAAATTACATTTCAGACACCACTGAACTTCCTTAAGTTTTTAACTAGTGAGAAATTTTTATTGTATATATTTACTATTAACTGAGTGATCTCATTGTCCCAGTGTGATTTTAAGTATACTCCTTGCCACATTTCTGAAGTGAAATTGTTAATTACAAATACATATTCTATCATTACACTTATCATATGTATATATATATTTATGTACACATACATGAAATCTGGTTTTATTTAGTGTTAAAACAGATCACCAAAAAGTATACTGGCGCAATACAAATGTGTGTGGATACATTCATTCTGGAGACTGTTTTATCAGTTTGGAAAGGAATAGAATTCATGTGGTTTGTACATAGCTATAAATGTATGTGATGTTTTTTGAGTGCTTGTACAGGTGTATGAACCCACACAGTGACTGTACCCAAAAGATTATCAAAATGAAGCAAATATGATGTAAGAGGCTTCCAAAATTTTAAAACAATACCTAAAATAATGATTGCAATTTTTTCCCTTTTAACAATACCTGTTGCTGTATTTAAGAATATTTTCATACCAATATATATATTTTTACTCTTACCAGGGTTATTTATTATATAGAGATGCGAATAATCACAGTATGACAGCCATAAGAATAAACCCTGAAACTTTGGAACAAGACGGTACAGTTGCTTTGCCAGGTAAGACCTTGCAGATATGAGAAGGTGGTTATAGTTTACTGTTTACATGCTATGTTTTTTCAGGCAAGCAGAAGAAAAAGTGAGAGATTTAGAGATGACAGAGATTTTGAGATCAGAGATTTCTTCATTTATTACTTTAGTGTGTTGGACCAGCCAAGGCAGTTAATGAAAGCTGATGGACCATACTTCTGATGTTTGTATTGGTGGTGGGTTTTGCTTTATTTGTTTAGGGATTTCTTTTAGGTTTATTTTTGTTTGGATAGGGGGGTTTGTTTTGTTATTATTGTATTGTTTTGTTTCATTTTGTTGGCTTTTTTCAGAGGAGCCTCATAACTTCAGTCTCTGTTTAGAAAATGAGAATGTTCCTGGAACATGCTTTAATGGCCTCCTAGTGAAACACATCTGTTCTTAGCCACTCGCATGAACAGTAGAAGGACACAAGAAAATTTGATCAAACAATGACAGGCTTATTCTATAATCAGAAGACAGATTTTGTGTTTCATCCTGACATAAATAAGAAACCGCTGACTGAAACCTCAGAAAAATTCTCTAGGATTTTTGTCTTTGAAATGCAAACAGTAATTTTTGAAACAAATTATGAACGTAGAATCTAGTCCAGGCAACTTTCTGCACATCCTTGAAGCATGAATGTATATTTAAGCTGTTCTTGCTCTTTGTGGGGCTGTATTAGAAATTTAGGTGAGAGCACATTCAAGGATGTGACAAAATGACTTTTAGGGTGGTTTTTCAACTTTCTTCACCTCAGGACAGCTTCTTCAACCAGTAGGGTCCTTTGAGGTCCTTAATAATGTTACCATTTGTAAACAAATCAGTGTTCTTCATACAAGTCTTGAGAGAGACTTGAACACATTTCAAGTCTACCCCTCTAAGCTGTTAGCTTGCTTTTGCAAATCTCAGTGACAAGCGTCATTCTGCAAGACTGCCTTGTATTTATACTAAAAAAAGGCACAAATTAAATGACAGTATGCCTTCTAAAGAAAAATATAATAATTTTCCATTACAAAAGCAAATCTGTAGGAATACCCGTTTAGAAATCCCTCAAACTCTTTTGCACAGTTGTGTTTTGTATGGTTTGTGATGGCATCAAAGTTGGTGCTAGATGTTATTTGTAACCCCAGCCATTTTTATTTCGGTCCTTGAATTTTGCTGTTTTGCCTTCTGCATTTCTACACATTTATCTCAGTGTTACGTTGTGAGCAGATGTGACCTTGTTCTTTTGGCTACGACAAATTCCAAGGGGTACATTTCTGGTTATTTTAGTTTCCTGTTAGAAGGAAAGAAATGAAGGTGAGGGGGGAGGGGGTGTGACCTGAGGAAAACTGAGTAGGTACTTAACTCTGAAGTAGTAGCTGCCCCACTGAAATCTTATGGTGACTTGCAAGTTGTAGTTCTCAAGAACCATGCTGAATAGAACTAGAGGGCAGTAACCTTGCTAACAGCTGAACAGAGGAAATCTTTGCTCCTAGTTGGTATGGTATTCAGCTATGGCTCTGCCTGGAATTGGTCTCTTTCAAATGCCTTGGCTGATGATAGTGCATTTAAATAAGGTATTAGAATTTATTCATACAGGGGATGCATAGGAGATTAGGAGCTCATTAGGAGGTGTGATTAGGTGTTGATCCTAACAGCTAGGAGTAGCTAGAAGTCTTGTGACCCTAGAAGTCAGAGGTCTATGGAACATTATCTTCTCCTTTCCCAGACAGTAGGATCAACCAACTTCTTGAAACCATAAACTTCTATTTTTAAAGAGCAGTCTTTTCACTCTGATAGATGATCTAGCAAATCTAGCATTGTATCTGGAACTACCAGAATGTGTGTCAACATCTGGTATCTAATGCCTTTGCCAAGCGTCATATACTGTACCTGAGCTGTGCATCTGTTTTCTCAGTCCATATAGCATTAAAAACTGAATTCTATGAGGCTTTCCTAGATGATTGGACCTGAATTTCTGAATTTACAGAGGTTTTCATCTTGAACATTTCTTTTAGCAGTAATGCTTACTGCATGCCTTAGAGCAGTTGCTGTATTCAGGTGAAGAAGTTGAAGTCACATGCTATATGGTTTCATTGTTATTTGAAACTACAAATTAACATTTTGGAGCTCAGGACTATTCACTTAGTCTGAAAGGTACTGCTATCTGAGGGTAGCCTAAATGAGTTCAAGGCCTGCCTCATTAGCAGGCAGAGAATGCACTATATATGCACTATATAAATGTGGAAGGTGATGGTTGACAGTCATATTCTCTTGAAGCATCTAAGGAGGCTGTAATTAACAGATGTCTGTAGTTATGTACTATGAGTAAAACTTAAGTCCTTTCTCTTATAGCAGTCTCCAGACAGAAACCTTGGCTATCTTCATCCCTAGAGTAATTTCCAAAGTCAGGTTGAATAAGACTTAGTAATTATCATAAGAGTTCCATCTTAGCTGAGAACACTATATTGTCCTAGTTTTTGCGGATACTCCATTTGCCTTCCATTTTGTACTCTCTCCATTAATTTGATATTTAATGTTGGGCCTGGATGTTACCTAATAAAGTGCTAATTTTTAGGAAGTCTTCTGGAGAACATGTATTTAAAATAAAAAAGCATCCCTGTTCCAGATATCCTCTTTGAACACATCTAACAGACATATGACCAACCCCCAAAAATGTTTACTGAGAGACTCGCCTCTTCTTGAAATGACTCAAGCAATAGGTTAAACAGTATAATATGGACCAACTGGTGGTCAGACTATTCTATTCCTTGACTGTTCTGCTTGTGTGAGCATGTAATTTTCAGTCATTCAAGGAATCTAAATACTTACGAACTTCCTGTAACTTTTTGAGAAATGTCATTTAGATTATTTTTGGGACTTCATGTCAAGTTATTGAAATTTCTTTTGTTTTATCACTGATATAATTTTGCAGCATAGAGAATTAGTAATGTGAATTGGCTTTGGTTGTTCAATCTGAGATTGTTTTTGAGAGAGCAGTATTTCAAACTTCAGTGTATTTGCTGTTCTCCATCCTGCTTGCTGCATACCCTCTGTGATTCATACCTGGGTCTGCTCTAAGGGGAAGGTTGTCTACTTTAGGTACTTTGCTTAAAGATGTGAGAATCACAGAAGGCTATCTAATGCATATTCGATTCCTGGTAATACACTGTACTGGACAGGGCAGTATAGCAGGAAAAAGTAAACAAGTTTATGGATTTCTAAATACTGCGGGGGGTTTTCAGCTGTATTATTTTTAATGCTTATAGGTAGCAAAAAAATAGCAAACTTGCTAGTTATGCTAGAAAGATGTGCTTCATTTAACATAAAATTTCGTAGTTAAAATAACTGAGACTGGATGTTTGTTCAGGTTATGAAGCAAATACTTGGAGTGTGAAATAGCTGTCCTGTAGTATTTTTGGAAGAGGTCTCTTTCCTGTGTGTAATCAATGAGAGAAGCACCTTAGAAACCATGTAATATCAATCTCTTTGTTCATAGCTCCATCCACAGATCAGGAAGGGAAGAAGAAATGGTGTAGGGACATGTGTTTAAACTTACAGAGAAAGTGATCTTTTTTCTCTTACTTTGGGTAGAATTCTTTTCCTACCTTTTTTTCTAGGAATTGGCTGACCTATTTTCAATAAATGTGTGATGTATTCAAGTATATGCTTTATAGTTTTCAATGCCCCCCTAGATTTTCAGTCCATAGTTCGGTGAAATTATTAAGTGATGAAAAAATGAGATTAATTGTGGAAAGTTTTTTTATTCATTTATTTCTGTAGGTTTTATATGCTGGACCGAGGAAATGTTTCTTTAAAGATAATGGTCCTTATGTAAAAAAAGGTCTTTGGGAAAGGACTTAACAGTCTTGGAAAATTAGAATTTAGTTCTGTTATAACTCACAAGTGAATAGTAAATGCTTTTTTTTTTTTTTTTCTTTTTTGCAGTTAAATATGGGGGTGTAACCACTTACATTTCATACAATGGAAAGTTCTGTAATAACTCTTATAGTAACTAAGGAGTACTATATGCTTTCGGTGTGACAGGAGATCCTAGTGTAAAATAATACATTACCAGAACAATGTGATCTCGCTTTAGACAAACTAGAAATCTCATAATCTGATTGTCGTAAAACTGAATTAGACAAAAGCAGAGACGTGTGTGTGTGTGTGTATGCTAATATAAACTGATGCAGTGCACTTCATCTTTCTCTCACAGATTGTCATACTGAAGGGCAGAATATCCTTTTCACTGATGGAGAATATATTAATCAAATAGCAGCATCTAGAGATGTAAGTTTTGCATATGATGGCTTGACTATTTTTCTCTCAGCTGAATTGTTTTACAATATTTATAGCTTCCTTTTTGCTTAATGTTTGGCTTTTTCTTCACTAACACAACTAAGGAAGAAATCCATGTAACTAGAAATAATGAGAAACTGCCATATTTTTGCATAAAAAAGCAGTATTTTGGTATTTATTCACACGATTTTGATTTGTGATGGATTTTTCAGATAAGTTTTAAGAAAAACGTCAGTGCTCTTTCGGGAAAAAAATGTTATCGATGGAATAATATCTTTTTAACATGTTAGAGGATCTCTGTGGGATAAGCTTCATAGAGCTTAATTATAATTTTTTTCCTAATTTAATTTTATGTAATTGCTTTGGAACTTGTTGGGGAATTTCAGCTAGTTTTAACAGAAGACAGATGAAATATACTACATTGCAATAGAGTTTTGTATGAAAATTACCTGTTGGCCAAAGCTGTGGAAGCCCTAAGAAGTGCTTCTACTAGGGTCAAAATTGTTGTGGTTGTGTGTTTTTTCAGCAGACAGTTATAACATTCTTAGTTCTGAATGGGTTTTTGATACTGAGAAAGCTGTAAAACAGGGATGGGATACGATCAGGTTGTCAAAAGATGCCAGACATATAACTAAGAGAAAAGCGGGATTAATGCCTTTCCCTCCTAATGGAACAACTCCATCTGCATTTTTAAACAGAAAACTGTTTTAGCTACTTTCTACAGGAGTCACTCAGCATGCAGAATTTTGGGTTCCAAATCAGGAGCGGTTAAGGGCTTGAAATATAGATGTAAATATTTATGAAAATACGATTACTATAGTGAATTTCAGAGTTAATTATTTCTATAGCAATTTACTATTTTCATAGTGTTCATAGCATTTTCATGGAACTCAATATATGCTTAAGGTATGTCAGGTACTTATTTCACCTTGTCCTGTTTGCCGTTTTCTTCTTTTCTCCTCTGTAATGTTGTTTTATAATAAATGTTATTTTATCAATGTGTCCTCTGACAGTTTACTCTGAAGTAGTATTATACTGGTGCACTTATGATTTGAAAAGTAAATTAATCTGTTTATTATATAGTATAAAGTAGATTTTTATATTTATTGCAGGATGGCTTTGTAGTGCGAATATTTGCCACAAGTACTGAGCCGGTACTGCAACAAGAACTGCAGCTGAAGCTTGCAAGAAAATGCTTACATGCCTGTGGCATCTCACTGTTTGATCTGGAGAAAGATTTGCACATTATCAGTAAGTCCTCTTCTTTGAAGGTTAATAACAAGCCCGGTAATTCAAACAATAGAGCTGAAAGGCTGCTCTTCCCTTTGTCTCTTATTACATACAGGAAGGTATTATAAACACATGGAGAGGTACAAGGGGTGTGAAACTGCTTAAGTGTTATTTGACTCATAGTCAAATCCATACGTGCATTTTGAACCACCTTTCTCTCTGTAGCACTATCCACAGTTTTCCAGTATTTTCCTTTAGTTGTATAATAAATATGTAGTTGTTTGAAGCTTGGACTTTATAACAGTGCTTGTATAACACTCAGTTAAGCTGGGAAACTCCTTGCTGTGGGTCAAAGTCAACAAGTTAAAAAGACCACTGACTGGGTTAATGGAAAAGAAATGGATTGAAAAACACTTGCATCAGAATTTGAGATGAAGAACTGTTAGTATGTGTGAAAGTATTTTGGATATCACTTGGCCTTTGCTTTGGGGTATTTTTGCTCTGTTAGGTGTCTACTTCTGGCTCTATCAGAACCAAAGTATATTTGGCTACATGGACCTTTCAACTGACCAGCTGCAGTTGCTCTTATGTGTTCTTTTTTCCTCTTTGAGCAACTCTATGAAGTCTAGTTCAGTAAGCCTTCTTGTGGCAGCAAAATTTGGTTTCACTTGTAGCTTTCTTAGATCAGTTGTTATGACAAACTCTCCCTAGCAGAGTTGGGTAGGTAACTGGTCTGAGAAACTGCCTGATTAAACTGTCCACTTAACACAATCTTACTTGCCCAGGTACAGGGTTTGATGAGGAATCAGCTGTCCTTGGTGCTGGAAGAGAGTTTGCACTGATGAAAACTGCTAGTGGAAAGGTACTGAAAATGTTCTGTAGTAAATAGCAAATTGCACCGGTAGATTTTTATGTGGTTTTTGATTATTATTTTCCATAATTTATTTTTGCCTTTTTAGTATGTTAGAATGAATGTCTATGACTGTATTTAAATACTTTTTTAAGAGCCCACTTTAAAGGCTAAAAGGCAAATAGTTATTTGAAAACATAAACAGATGGTTGGAACCATTAAGAAATCCATGGCTTGAATTTACAGAAATTTCTACTGTCAGTCTTAGAGTGAAGGGCGTTGTTTTAGACGTGGGGGTGAAAATTACCCTTTGTCTAGAAATGATGTATTAGCACCTTTGTAAATTTTGCCTTCTCTTAACTTCCCACAAACAGTGTTCAGCTCATCTAGCCAAACAATTATATATGAAAACTGACTCTGTGGCTCAGTAGAAAGCACATTTCAAAACAAGCAAATTCTAATCAGAATGTTTTCCCCATTAAGTAAAAATTGATGAGTTTAGGATAAAGCTATTGAAATGGTGTAAACAAAGTCAGGAAAAGTTCTGTATGGTTTGAAACGACTGGATTTAAATAAAATGCAACTTTAAAAATTATATGAGCTTGAAGTGCTGTGGCATAACTAAAAATGATAAACTGTTTTCTCCTAGATTTATTATACTGGCAAATATCAGAGCCTTGGAATCAAACAAGGTGGCCCTTCAGCTGGCAAATGGGTTGAACTCCCAATCACAAAATCTCCAAAGATTATTCAGTTTTCTGTTGGACATGATGGCTCACATGCCTTACTTGTTGCTGAGGATGGAAGCATATTCTTCACAGGTTCTGCTAGTAAAGGAGAGGATGGTGAATCGAGTATGTATCATTGCTTACTTGACCAATGGTTGATAAAAGCCTCTTAACCACTTTTTAATTTGAAGAGTTTTAACATTTTCCAAGAATATGTAAACATGCCATTTGGGCTGAATTTTATGCCAGCCACAGCTCCTGACAACCAGTGCCACTGCCTCTCCCATCTACAGAAGTTGATCTCTGTTTTACCACAGTTTGGATTGTGTGGTGGGAGTACTATTTTACAGTTGTTCTGAGCAAAGGCAGTCATAAGTTTGGTCAGGAGGCCATTGTTGTTTTATTGAACTTTGGAATTATTTTTTTTTGCCAACTAATGGAGAGGTACATGGATTAGAAATTGTAGAAGCATGATCTTCTGTGCCTTGATCAAGGAGAATTCTTTAGACATAAAAGAAGAGTTAAATTTGATCTTCAGACTAACAAATACCTCTTCAATATAAAATTAACAAATTTCCTAGTTCTGGTCTCTGAAGTTGTATGTTCAGGTTCAATTTTAAGACAAAGATAGCTTTATGTGCCTCAAAGCTGTGATCTACTGTGATATTAAATTAAATACTTCCCTTTAGGAAACAGGCTGTTCTGTTATGTTGTGGTAGATTAATTAATAATAATAAGTGTTTTGAAATACTTGGAGAATCATTCCTGAAAGATATTGATCTAATCATGACTTTGCTTGCCATTGAATTTTTTAGGGGAACCCATATAATCCAATAAAAATTAAACCAAGAGATGGTACATATAGTTGTGGGGGGGGTTGTTTGTGGGTTTTTATTTGGTTGGTTTTGTTTGTTTTTTTTTCTTTTTCGGTAGCAACCTGAAAACTAACTCCTGATTATATGAACGATGTTATTGTGCCTTTGATGTTTTTGTTGTTGGGGTTGGTTTTTTTTGGTAGATTGACTTGTAACTTATTTATTTAAAGCTAAAAGCAGACGGCAGTCAAAACCATATAAGCCTAAAAAAATTATTAAAATGGAAGGAAAGATTGTCATATCTACAGCGTGCAATAATGGAAGCAGTTCTGTAATTTCAAAAGATGGAGAACTCTACATGTTTGGAAAAGATGCTATTTACTCTGATAGTACAAGTAAGTTAATATTTGTCTTTTAAATTATTCCCCAACTAGGCTAGTTGAAATTAGCTTGGTAGTTTTTAGCCTGCGAAAATGTTGTTTGTTTCTTACTGTTCTGATAGATTTCTGACATTCTGCTGATTGAGGTAAATATGACAGAAGGGTAGAAATAGAAGACAAGTTTCCACAAGTTCTGTAAAAATACTTAGCAGCAGTGGTGACAAATACCCAAATTAATGCTTCCACTATGGAGAAAAAGAAATAAAATCTCTTGTTGTAAATATCTGACACTAGAAGGCCACACAGGGAAAGTCATAGAAATGAGACATGTTTTGCTTCAAAGTCTGCCAGAAACCAGACTTTATATGTTTCTATGCTTGTAAGGCAGCAGGTGATCAAGTACATGTCAGTTTAAATAAAATAGTAATGAAATTCCAGTGGCCTTATGGCTCCTTTAAAATTGTTTTTCAGAACAAGTGATTTGCAGCAGGATTAGGTTTGCTTTTTTGGCTTTTCTTTCTTTGCAGCACAAGTGGCCTAGGCCTAATTCTCCTTCTAATTCTAGCACTTGGTTTTTTAAATCTGTTGTTTTTCTCCTTTGCCATTAATTTTAAAATTGTCTGTATCCACTAGCGGTTTTGTTATATCATTGAGTTTCCTTCTCAGCTAGAAAGTTCAATTTGCCACTCAAGTATTTTATGTCTTCCAGGTTTAGTAACAGATTTGAAAGGCCATTTTGTGACTCAAGTAGCCATGGGCAAAGCTCACACCTGTGTGTTAATGAAGAATGGGGAAGTTTGGACATTCGGTGTAAATAATAAAGGACAGTGTGGACGAGACACAGGCTCCATGAGCCAGGGAGGAAAAGGTGTGGGACCTAGATTTTTCCTTTTGTTTTGTGTGCTGCAAAATATCCCACGTGAAACCAAAGCTAAACATTTTATTATAAAATGTAATTCCAGTACTAATTAAGTAAATACAACGTGCTTAAAAAAACAAACAGGCATGAATGCTTTCACTTCAACTCTCAGGTATTTGGTGTTGTGCACATACTAATAAACATAGTAATGTTTAAAAAAAATTAAAAAAACCCCACGAAGAACAGAACTTAATTACTTTCTGTCAGTAGAAAAGCTTTTCTGTAAAACAAATGAGTAAAACCAAACCACATCCTCTTTGTCTTGCTATGTGCCACTGTCTTAGTAAGAAAACATTTTCTACCTTTCCTTGTTCGCATTCAGTCTTGAGGTTGTCATTTGCTTAAACAGGATGTGAATGCAAGTCTACATCTTTCTCCACAGAACTGAATGTTTGAGTTACTCCTAAATAGAGATATGAAAAAGTCATACCTATTCACCTTTGCCTAATGGAATATTTTACGTGACAAGTAAATGACCTGTTACTTCTGTACTGAATAGAAGTGCTTCATTTCCCTTTTAGTTTTGAAACCTACCTATATACCCCAGCCCAGGTGCAGGGAGGTTTCAAAATTGTCATTGTGCTGGCTGAGCATGCAAATCAGGCATACCTAGTCATTCCTTTTAAAACCTGATTTGAGAGTGTTCTTCAGAGCTTCCACAGGAGCCACTGTTCATAGAAGCATTTAATAGTTTGGGTTGGAAGGGACCTTTTAAAGATCATGTTGCTCAGAGCCCTGTCCAACCTGACTTCACCTCTCTGGGTAACCAGAACTCTCTTTGTTGGCCTTGGAAAACAACTATTTCTTGTTTCAATATCTTAATTAGGTTTTGGAGTTGAGAACATGGCTACAGCAATGGATGAAGACCTGGAAGAGGAACTGGATGAAAAAGATGAGAAGTCCATGATGTGTCCTCCAGGCATGCATAAATGGAAGTTGGAGCAGTGTATGGTGTGCACTGTATGTGGAGATTGCACAGGCTATGGAGCTAGCTGTGTTAGTAGTGGGCGTCCTGATAGAGTACCTGGAGGGTAAGCAAATGTGTGGAAATGTGCGTGATGCAGTGTGTTGAGTGGCTAAAGCATGTATTGAGTGTAAACTGAGCTGATGTATTTTAAACTGAAATCTAAAGTAACATTATAGCTAAAAGAGTATGCTCTTTTAAAATCAGAAATAGATTCAATTTTTTTGTAAATAGCTTGTGATGGCTGTAGGTAATTTAGTTTTAAATACATTTTTTTACTTTAACGTAGAGTTCTCTACTAGGAGCTGTTGGATATGAGCACCAATATAAATCTGTCTCTTGACAGAGCTACTGGCTCAGGATAACCTTTCTTTGTCCTTTGATGGAAGTTTTTTATCTTGCTGTTCTAGTTGCTTTTATCTGTTACTTCTGAGCTGAGCTGCATAAAGGGCCACTGCTTTACATAACACCATTGCTACTTCTCCAGCATTTCATGTGCTCCTTGTTTCCTTGTTCATGTTTTCATGTGATATACATTAAATTAAGTGAAGAAAAGTTAATGCTGAGAAGTCAATTCAGTGTATGGTCAGCATATGGTCCTGGCATCATGCCAGGACATGCCAACAGCAGTCCTTTCTGTTTATCTCAGGAAAACTTAGATGTCCACAGATAGAGCAAACTAATAATGTATGTTTTAATTACCAAGGCATCAGTGACGCATGAAAATAAAAGACAGTAATAAAACAACTCTGTTTGCTGCAGAATCTGTGGTTGTGGCTCAGGTGAGTCAGGCTGTGCCGTATGTGGGTGCTGCAAGGCATGTGCTAGAGAACTGGATGGCCAGGAAGCAAGGCAAAGAGGAATCCTTGATGCTGTGAAAGAGATGATACCTTTAGATCTCTTGCTGGGTAAGTGATACGAAATTAGCAAGATGGCTTTTAATTCTGTTTCTTACTGCACCTTTTTTCTCCTCAGTACATTTGTTTACATACTTTATTATTACAGGACAGTTTCAGTATAATATTGTTAAAATGGATAAAATGGAGTTTATCAGTCAGATTTATTTGTTGGTTATGTAGCAAAGTGGGATCATTCTGTTACATGAAATGTTTTAAGCTTACCCGTATTATAGATATCTGTGCCACTTTGTGACCTGTGCTCTTATGATACTAATACTGATACTACAAAGTTGTTCTTGTCCTTTTTGGTATGTGAAAATTTTTCTATAATGCTTATATCAGGACTTGAGCATTCTTAAACCAAAAAAGGGCTAGTTCATATGAAACGTTTTAAGAATAGAAACAATTTTGGGCTTGGTTTAATAATAACACTTTCTGAAACTTTTTAGGGGAGAATTGAGATAACCATGACAACACATAACTTAATTTAGATATGTATATGCCTAAGTACTAAGTACTGCTCAGTGACGTTGGAATTGCCAGATTCATGAAAACCAGGAAATTAGGAAATAAAACCTAAAACTTCTCCAAATTTTCTTAAGTCCTTTCATTATTGTCAGAGCCATGTAAAGAGCAGCTAGTAAGTAGGTTTCAGTTTTCATTTACTTAACAACTTACAGGGGTTTTTGCCATCATAACAAACATAATTTTACATATTTTATTTTCTTAATCTATTTAGCTGTCCCTGTTCCTGGAGTTAATATTGAAGAACACCTTCAGTTACGACAAGAAGAAAAGCGGCAACGCGTCAATAGGAGACACAGATTGGAAGAGGGAAGAGGTAAGTGACTTCTTGAGAAGAGGCTTGAGTAGCTTAAGAAACTACTTAGTCTGTTTTCTAGGAATGAAACTAGTCTTCCTTCAGTGAGGCAGTACAGTAATCAAACTAAAATCAGATTCTAAATAGCTAGCTTATGTTACCTAGCATGCTTTTAGAAAATTGGGAAAAATCTGTATATTTAACAAAGTCTGTGCATAAGAACCAGAATTTTAATTGTGAAGAGGATTTTATATCGCTTTCACATGTCAATTTATATTTTTTTGCTGTTTCCTAGTTGAATAATAGTTTTTTAATATGTAGATGCTAAAACATTTTTATATGAAGACATGAAAAGACTGCAAACCTGTTCAGTGCAATTTACCTATAATATGAATTATTTAATTACTATAATAAATTATTCAATTTCTGTTGTATTATAGTAAGCAAAATTTCTTTTTATAAAATTACCTTTCTGTATTTGCATAGCATGAGAAATTTGACACAAACTGAATCAAAAAACAAAATGCTGCCACTTTTCAAAATTTTCTTATGTATTATCTACCTTGGTGTTGATTTTCCACACAAACAGTATGTACCTTAACAGGTTTTCAGTACTCTTCTTGTTTTAAAATAGCTCAGTGTCTTTATCTGGCAAAAGTTGAGAGATCTAGACTGATAGAAACTATATTTTTTTGAAGAACGATGATGTGGTTGGTAAAATTATTGTGTGTTGAGAAGAAGAATAACTTATTGGGACATTATGATCTTCAAGTTCCTGCTGTGTTAGTAAATACCATTTTGATTCTTCTTTAATGAATTAGATACTGGTTTGATTCAAACACAAAATGCGCCTTGTGATCCACCTTAGACTCTATGCCACTGAATCTTTTGGTGCAAATCACATTTTTATTTCACTTGCATTAAGAAATTACTGGTTTCACCACAAATAAAGAACAACAAAGAAGAGAAAGCTTATAGTTGTCTATGCATGTGGAAAAGGATGGAATATTTATTTTTCTTTGAATCTTAATGACTAACTTTAGCTATGAGGGGGAGAGGGAAGGCCTTTGTTTAGGTCATGTTGGAGCTCCACTGCATGCTGCTGGCAAATATTAGGTGCAGCTAACAATAATTTTTTCTTAATTCGTCATTGAATGCCTGGACATTATTGAAAGGTGCTGCTGTTCAGCCCATCAGTGATGACAGATCTGGGAGGTAAATTTCAGTTAAAAGAAAAAGAAGAGTAGCAGAGAAACATTTAAGTTTGCTTCTATTTCTGTGGTTAGAAGTAGAACTAGAGCAGCTGATCCCTTCTGTATACCATCTGTCTCAAACAAAAATACAAGTCAGGTTAACAGTATCAGGGATGTATTTTTATTGTTGGTTTGATGAGTGTATAGGGACTGTAGATAAAAAGATATTGCTGGCCAGCTTGTTGCACATGTTCATATTATATTCTCTATCAAAAGAGCATGGAAATTCTATACCTGTGTGGCTGCAGGAGGTAGTGGGTATGCCTAACTGGAAGAGTTGGAGGTTAGTCTCCTGTTTTGCTTCCGAATTACTGATGTGATAAAACTGGGAATAGTGTTTCACAAATACTTAGACATCTTGATTTATGAGTATTTGATAATTAATCTTGATTTGCATCACCAGGTTAACAAGTTGGCGGTTTTTTTGCTTCTCCATCCAAATGTTGCAGTTTTCCATGAACTGGTGCAAAGAATAGCACCATTCTTGACAACTGTTATGGTGCTGCTCTTTTCATAAGAGAAAACAAGAACATTTAAATAGCATACTAGATTTTGTGTGCAAAAAGTTTTGCGGTCTGAAAAAACTTGGTTATACTAATGTTAAAAGAATAGGCAGGCTGCTTAGTTCTTCCAAGAAGTTCTAGTATTTGTGCATAGGTAAAGGAAGAAATCCTTGCTAAAGAAATAGCTGTTTAGAGATCCAAAGAAAGTTCTAACCTTTCAGTTTTCTGAAAACATTGCTTAGTCAGTTAAAGACCAGATTAGCTCTGTTAGGGCCTTTCGTTAATGTACACAGCATTTAGTTTGTTGGGATTCTGATTTCTGGGTTGTAGTGTGTTAATGCATTTCTTTTGTTCTTTTTATTAAAAACAAAGTATGTGTAGTTTATCATAGTTGAGAATAGGAACCATCACTGAATGTTGCTACTCACTCTTGAGTTACAGGCAATGACCTTCATTCAGTACAAATATTTTCATTAGATATTGAATGTTTTGTAAGCATTTCAACATAGGAAAGCTTTTCAAGTAAATAGGAATATTTCATTCCTAAAACAGTCATGCAAATAAAACAGTCAAAAAATCGCAAAGAAACCTCTTGCACATTTACCTTATTATTGTTGTAATCGGAGTAAAGTTTAGGACAGAGGTGTAAGAGCACAAGTGCTGGAAGTCTACTGGTTTCTAATTGTTCGTGCTTCTTTACCAGAGCTCCATATTTACTCCTGTTATGGTGACTTCTGGTTTAAAAATATGTTCTAGCAATCCACTTGAATTAAGGGAGAAAGTGATGGTTATGTCTACAGGTATGACATTCATTTAACTCCTTCCTGAAGTCAGTTATGGTCTCTTGTATGGAAGATGAGAATGCTCATCTTTATTTGCATTTGTCTGAAAATATGAACTCTGAATTTAGATATTCTGGGTAGAAGTAGTTGTCATTAACAGCTGCAATGTCAATGACCTAGTTCAGTGCTACTATTACAACCAATTGATTTACTTCTCAAATATCGTTCAGGTAGCCTGACACTTTTGTAAGGAACCTGTATATATGCTGTTCAGCAGCACCACAATGAGTGGTAAATAACTTGAGAAATTTTAGGTACTTATCCTGAAGATTTCTCTGGTTTTTATCTTGAAATGAGTCACAGCAGATTAGATTAGACTTGCTATCATAGAATTGTAACCAGTAAATAATTTTTATGTTTAGAATCAGCTATTCATGTTGCTTCACTTAAGAAAGAAGTTTTGTTTAGTGAAAAAAGAGATCCTTAAAATTAACAGTGGAAGTGTTTCAATGTGGGATAATAAATTAATTATTTCAAAAAACTTGAAAGTTGCTTAATACGGATTATATTTCTTTGCTCTTTTCAGTGCAACAAGTATGTACAGTGTGTTCAGGTGACCAGTTTTGCTCCTTTCTGCAACAGTGGTAATGAGCTACTTCATTCACTACTTTTCTGCTTCTGGCTTAATGGCTGTGACAGGAGCAGTGAAGAGGGTTCAAAATCAATTCCACATTTTTGAGTTGGGTGTATCACCTTTTGAGAAATAAAGCCAGCTGTATTCATCACAGCTTCTATACTAAAATGTAATATCTCAACATAGTTATTCATGGAATTATCTCAGCTTTTCACTGTCATTTTGATAATTAGTCAAGGAGCTGATATACCATATGATGAAATTTTTTGCTTTTCAGGCTGGCTTGGAGCATGATGTGAGAGATGAGTATGGAAGTAGTTGCACTAGTAGTTGCACTTCATTGTTTTCTGTGGTAATGAATTTTTATATGTTAGAATGTTCAGAATATGGTTAGATTATGTTTCCTTTCCTATGAAACACCAATGTTTTTACCCGTGGGGGCATTAAGTTAAACCTTAATGGGTTATAGAAATCTGTGGGCCTCACTGTACAATTAATGTAATGAACCTAAGATTAGCATTTACTGGGGGAGGTAATCTTGAAAGCTGTTCCCACAACTTTTTCAGATTCATATTTGAAGTAATAGAATTCAGAAATAGTCAAAGATTTCAATTTATCACTTGAAGATAACTCCAGGGTTTTTTTTCAGAAGACTGTGAGAACAGCTTTTTAAACTGTATTTAACTAATAAGCTAAAAAATACAGAAAGGGTTCTTAGTATGGTGATAATAAGTGGTCTCATGTTTCACTGGTACTTCACTACTATTTCTCAGCCTATGATGTAAAAACCTTTAGGTGATCATTACTGAGATGCAGATTTGGTGTGTAATTAATCAAGATTTGGCTTTTGATGCCCTAATAAAAAAAGAAAAATTATTTTTCATCAGTCTTATTCTACTTGCAACAACAAAAGAACCCACAGGAAATTTATTAATTTTAGTCAAAGCTGCTGTGTTTTGAGACAAAGTTATCTGAGACCGCCTATATATGGGCATTTTTTCATTTTTCTGAAGTGTAACTGATTCAGTTAATTCAGTAATTTGTTTTACCATGGTAGGCCAAATATCCTGTGAACCTGTTTAAGATCTACACAAGCCACTCAGAGCTTGAAATCAGTTTGTCAGTAACACTATTCTCTGTGTCATTGCTGAACATGTACCTAAATACACAGCAGAAATATCTATTCAAATGCAATATTCTGTGTTAAATAATGGTGTAGCTTCTTTCTGTAGTTTTAGTTAAATATTTATTTTGATGCTTTCAACACCTGAAGGTTACATTTGTTTCAGAGTTCTCTAAACAAACAAAAACCAGTCAAAAAATCCCCTGCCTTTTTACATGCATGACTTTCTTTCTAAGAATGCTTTCAAGACAAAGCTGTAGGTTTTTGTCCCTAATAACCAGCAGGTATGATTCTATGAAATTTCGTTGTTGTATTTGAGTCTGTGACTCCTTTCTGCAAGAGCTGATTATTGTTGGTAAAACTGATGTTTAAAGTAGAAATGTTTGTATTTCTATTATAGTTTTAGAACTCGGATTTTCAGTAGACTCAATGAGAACAGTTCTGGTTAATATTTTCTGTTTTAATTTACTTTATGTATTTATATACAGAGATACATCTTTCACATTTATTTAACAATATATACAGAGTCAAGTATTCCGAAGGGAGAAAGTGCAAAAATTAAGATTATCATGCATTCTACTTCCATCTCATTCTCTGTTACTCCCATGTTGCCTTTCATGCTTGTTTTGGCTAACGTGCACCTCTTCTTTGGCTTTGAAAGACCTTAATAATTTTTCTTCCACATCTGATTTGTACAATTTAATCATCAGTAGAAAAGAACTTTCA